CAGACATTGTCAATCGGCTGGTGAAGAATCTCTGTCATCCAGGTCATGATCAGTCCAAAAAAAAAGGTTTTAAACAAAAACAACTGGACTTCTACTCTGAAGCTGAAGACTTTATCCCATCCATATGTTGCTGGAGTATCTGAAAAAGTATCTGAGCATTCCTGTTGATGAGGCAGGCTCCTCATCATGATCCTATGATGAGGTCTCATCATAGGATCATGATGATGCGGTAGAGGTGGTCAGTTTAAGATCAGACACCACTCTGAGCAGCAAGTTTCCACAGAACAACTGTGTCAACTCTTGAAACTGTGCCTGCAGTCAACCTACTTCACATATGGGGGCCAGTATTATAGGCAGAAACATGGGTGTGCTATGGGGTCTCCAGTTTCTCCTATTGTTGCCAACCTGTACATGGAGGAGGTAGAAAAGAGAGCCTTGACGTCCTTTTCAGGGACACCACCGAGTCATTGGTAGGCCTGTCACGATAACAAATTTTGCTGGACGATTGTGTCAGAAATTATTGCGATAAACGATAATATTGTTTGAAATTGAGCAATAATTGTCAAATTTTAGAAGAAATGTTGATTTGTTTTTACCTTTTTTGACCACCTGATGGCAGTATAGGATTGTTTGAACCAAAGGATGGATACCAATATTCTTCAGTCAGGTCATCTGGACAGTTTCTTATGACCTGACTGAAAATTGTTGGATTGTATACCTGGATTATTGAGCATGGGCTTTGTTGGTTTTGAACCAGTTTGACATGACTGTCGATGAGGGAGAGGGCCGGCACAAGAGGAGGGGGCGTGCCAAAGACACCATCTTAGCACCAACAAAACTGGTTTGTTCCACTTTGCAGTAAGCTGTTTGGAGGAAGAATCAGTTTTGTGTTGTGTGTTTCCTTGACTGATGAAGCCTCCTGGATGGAAGGTGAAACGTTTCAACAAAAAAAGAAACTGTCCAGATGACCTGACACAACCTTGTTAGATTCGTTTATCTGGATTACTGAGCGTGTATCAGGACTGGACAGTTAGCTCTTAGTGGTCCACTGACACCTCAAGGAGTAGGAACCCATTTTTGAGAACCAAAATGTTAATATTTTAGACAGAGAAAACAGATTGTTTGAGAAGGGGATGAAGGAAGCCATTTACGTCAAACGAGAAAACAACGACTTTAAACAGAGGAGGAGGTTTCAGATGTCAACTTTCATAAACTAACATACAGCATTAGGCCTGATTCTCAGCCACTTCCACTCTAAGTCACACCTTCATGCATGTGACCAAAACATCTCTCTCATGGTCCGAGCAAACAAAGAGCCTAACGAGCCTAACGAGCCTCCAACGTGCAGGGCGAGTAGTTCCATTGCAATCTGCACGTACACAACTGGGAACTCCACACACTCCACACGTAGAATTGCTGAAGCCTCCCAGATGTGAAGCAAAACATCTTCAGCTTCAGAATAAAAGTCCAGTTGGTTCTGTTGTTGTTTTTAACCTTTTTTTTTTTTTTTTTTGGATCGTAAATCAGGTTGGCCCAAAAGGTAATCATTGGTAGATGTACAGCTAACTGATTACTTTATGAAAGCTTCATTAAAATTAATTTAGTGTTTTTTCACGAGGCATTTTACCAAGGTTACAGACAAACACACACGTTTGTATTTCTATCTTCCTGTCCTCTCAAACCTGAGCCTGGTTCTGCTGGAGGTTTCTTCCTGTTAAAAGGAGTTTTTTCTTTCCACTGTTGCCACTGTGCTTACTCAGGACGGGAGACTGCGATGAAGTGAAGCTTCAACGTATTTGCTGCTTCCTTAGATAGAGAACTTTACTAGTTGGCTTCTATGTGTGTGAATGTTCCTGCAAAGTGCCCTGAGACAACTCTGTTGTGATTTGGTGCTGTATAAATAAACTGAATTGAACTGAAATATCCTTAGTATTGACTTCCATTCATTTCTGTAGTCTAACCAGGTAAACACACAGACAAAACATTATTGCAGAGGATAACTAAGAGCTTTGCACGGCTCTCGGCTGGTATCATAAAAACATATAGTCCAGACCAAAGTCTAGGCACCTTAACCTGAGGTTCAACTGTGGCTGAATAAATTCCTTCATCAATTAACTGAAGCGAGAGTTGGCCAAAATGTCTCCACGAACAGGTGACGCCTAAAGATATTGCTGCTAAAACTGGTCTTACAAGCTATAAATGATTATCAGTAAAGTAAAATGATGGATTTCGCTAATAAAAGACCCATCTACAACTCGACTATCAACAGTACAGACACTGAGCTAACTAGGGGTGTAACAATACATCACTTTAAATTGATATATCCATTAAATGGTTAATGATTCAATTATACCATGGCAAAACTAAAACATTGATTCATATCGTCATCTTTAAAATACACTTTTATTTTGAAATTCCCAAGCCTGTCACCGTTTTCGTGCGCGGCTGCGCCTGCGGCCGCCTCAGCATCATGGCAGAGAACACAGATAATGAAATTCACTCTCCTGCTGGACTGAAATATTTTATATTCCAACAGAAGGACGGCTCAACAGACAGAACTCGTGTCGCGTGCAACAGAAAAAATAAAATCTGTTTGACTTTTTATAACCGTCCATTGTTGTCATCATTCTTTGTTAAATCAGGTCTCTCTTGTAAATGAGTCCTCGAGGCTCGATGGGATTTACCTGTCTAAACAAAGGTTGAATGAACAGGTGCCAGTGAGAGTTCAAATACTCGGGAAACAACAAATTGGTCCGTTCACCTGAAGAAGAGACACGACATCGATAGCCACGTTCTGGAAGCTCAATATCTCTTTTTGTTTCTTCATAACTGAGAGGTCATCACGGCACTTTTAAGTTAACTGGTTTAAAAAATGCACTTAAACATGAGAAATGTGAGACTTTACTGAACAGGTCATTTATTTTTTCATTAATTAAGAAAAAATATATATTTTTATTTAAATGCCTGGTGCCTGCAACAACAGAAATAAAATGGTTAAATCACATTTGAATTGTTTTTGTAAATTTATTTATATGTAAATGAGACGGGCATTTGATATCGCAATATATCGATCGCAGACTCGTGACTCGAATAGAATCGAAATCGTATCGTGACAGACTTGGTGATATCGAGAAAAATCGTATCGTCATACAAACGAATCAATAAAATATCGTATCGTGGTAACGCTGGTGATTTACACCCCTAGAGCTAACTGTGGTAGTTGCTGAGAGTAATCTTTGCTGCATACTTAAAGTGCTAAAAATTATGCAAGATTTCATAAATGCATGAAGAACGAATGCAGAAAACGGTATCACTGTTGTCTGCGTAAAATCTGTCCTGTGGTTCAAGATATTTTGCTAACAGATAAACAGGCTTGACTTCAACAATTATTACTTACCATACTATTATTAGCTATTATTATTAGGGATGCAGGATATTGGATTTTTGGCCGATATCCGATCTGCCGATATGTTAAAACTTATTTGGCCGATAACCGACAGTGATATTGAACTTTAACGCTAATATCGGCCGATAATGATACCATGCCGATAATATCGTACATCCCTAATTATTATTAATTACTATAACTTCTTGTGCAACGAGTAGCATGTTGAGTGTGTACCACAGTAAACACTGATGGAATTATAACCACTTTGTAATCTAAGGTCAGTTGGTTGTGGTGGCCATCTTGAATGGGGTTGGCTTCAAAAGGGAGTCAGTTCTAGATGTACCCCCGATGATTATTTCCTGAAAGTCAGAATAAAACCAACCGATGACAGAGATCTGTTAAAATCTGTTGGCGCTCGGTACGTGTTAGGGATCAATACTCGTGACTACCACACCAAAGTTTAACGCCGTTACAGTTTGCAGTCAAGGAGTGGTGGCGCAGAGGTTTGAGAAGGTGGCACTGTGATCGGATAGTCGCCAGTTCGACTCTCCAGACCAACACCATCAAAATGTGGGTGGGAAAGGTGAAACAATCACACCTGCCTCCACCCGTTTGACCCACTCTGGGCCCTTGAGCAAGGCCCATAACTCCCACCATCTGCTCGTCTGGGTGTCCTGGATGGTAGCTCTCTGCTCCACACAGAGGGCTGTGGTTGTGTCAGGAAGGACAGCAAAGTCTCTCTGTGTGACTTGGTTTCCTGTGGCAACCTCTGAGGAAGGGAGGAGCCGAAAGAACAAAAATAAAATGCTCCAGCAACATTTATGAGAATTTGATGTTGAAGATGTCGCACTAAGATGCTTAAACTTGTGCAAATTGTGCTCATATCTTTTACATTACTATGTCAACTGGAATATGTCTCACGTTTTATTTCTTCTTATGACTCACGTTGCTCTGCCTGACGTTTATTTTGAAAAGCTGGGCCGGAAATTGTGATTTGTGTTGACAACTTTGACTCGTTCTATAAACGTTCGGGCACGAGGCTTCATTCATTAATTAAAGCGGAGGTCGGTTTGAGCGGCTCTAAAGTGAAACATGCAGCGCGAGGTAAAACCAGGAGCATGCCCACGGGCCGGGTTTCTTTCCACCAGGAAGCCGAGTGCGTGTCCCCCGTGAGACGTGGCTCAGTTTCTGCTGTCACAACTTCTTCAGCAGCAGAAAGGAACATTACGGGGTGCGCGCGCGCGCGGACAAATTGTGGCAAACCGTTTCGTTTTCCCAGCTTCGCCACATCTGGAGCGGAAAAGTTCAGCGCGTCTCCCACGCGGAATGAAAACAACAGCCGTGAGGACGTGGGGGTGGGGGGTGGGGGGGGGGGGGTGAGAGTAATGCTGTCCGCGGCTTTTAGTCCCTTAAAACAGAGGAGCCGACTCTGCCCGCCGTACACGCGCCGCAGTCTGGTAAACAGGTTGTGGCTGGTCGGGTTTTAAAGCAGCACAATCTCCTCTTTTCGAGTTACGTCAGCGCGGAAAAGGCAAAAAGCAGTTGGCCAACTCCGCGCGAGCCTCCGTACCGTTAAACTGATCGATAAGTTCGGCGGTCCGTCCACACTTACCCGTACCGTCGTAAAAAGGGCCTCGCCTCCCCGCAGCTACGACTTTATTCAGTGTTGTGGAGGTTTCAGCGTTCTGGTCGTGACTCCATCCATCTTGAATTTGACGTCATCCCACACCAGGGATGAGGTCATCGCAAAGACCGCTCGTCACGTGCACTGCGGGTTGATTGGTAGTTTGAAAAACGGGAGGCGGAGCTAATGGAGACCTCACTGTGGGGCTAATTTAAAGAGATATGTCATATTTTTTTTGCTTGAACGTCCATCCCATAGGTCCATCCAGTTCTTTCTACCCGCTTTTTCTTTCCGGGTCGCGGGAACCTGGTGTCTGTCTACCATAGACCTAGACGCATCATTGAGCGCTGAATCGTACGTTGACGTTGCCGCCATATTGGATGTGGCAAAAGTGAAGCATTAAGAGAATGTGCCTCATTTATTCAGAGTGGCAACACAGAAGCTGTGCAAAACTATTCTTTAAGGTTAACAGACTCTTTAACTTACACACACACATATATACAGGTATGTATGTATATATATATATGTGTGTATGTATGCATATGTGTGTATATACCTAAATGTATAGTTATGCATATCTACTGTGTTGTATATCTAAATAAATAAGTAAATCTATCTAAATGTTTGTGTGTATTTTTGTAGAT